ATCACAATGAGACAGTAGGGTAACAGATGAAACACAGAAAAGGAATTGCTTCCCACTTGGCTTTTGGTAGCTAGATCACAAAATTTCATAACCCTAAAACTGTCACAGAATTTTATAAGACAGCAGATGCAGAAGTGATCTGGGGCTGAATAGGGTTCTCTGAAGTATCAAAAGCTTTTTTTACAAAGTATAGAAGAAATCACTTACACTTGTAGAAACAACTTTAGGGAGATTAGACTCCTTTACATTAGCTAAATCTTTTGAATAGGTATAATTTAAATCTTATGTCTGTTATTGTTTCTAAATCGGCAAGATTTTATTTTTTTAAAGTACTATATTTGCCCACACCCCATATGTTCCTCTTATTTAATCCTTATAAATCTAAAATGCTGAATTTGCTGTATCACAATTTCCATAGGAACAGAACATTACATCATAAATACAGAACTATGACTTCACCACAGGATCTGGCAGGAGGAGAACCTGCATAGCATCAGGAAAAAAAAATTCCTCTCCCATAAAAACATCTAATAGCAACTCTCAAAGACAGACCCCAATTCAGAAACATACCATGGCAAAATGCAGTTTTAAGCATATAATAATCCAAGAACTCCTCTTTAAAAAGTATTCCCTTATAAAACATTAGGCATTATTATTTTAAGAAGATGGATTCTGAGGTTATAAGTCTTTAAATATCCTGAACACAGTCTCTCAGATACTGCATCCCCCACATACCCGCTCTTAACAGCTGAGATAATAGATTTTTTTCCATGTTTAGGGTTGCCAACTTCCAGGTGGGACTGGAGACCCCCCCCATATTATAGCTGGTCTCCAGAGATCAGTTCCCCTAAAGAAAATGGCAGCTTTGGTGGGTGGATTCTATGGCATCGTATCCCTGCCAAGCTTCCCCTTCCCTACACTCTGCCCTCCCCAGTCTGTACCCCCTAACATCTCCAGTTGTTTCCCAACCTAGTGCTGGCAACCCTATGTTCAGAGAAGCAATTTTTTTTAATATTGTGGCAAAATTATGGAATCCCCTCCCTAAAAAAGCCCACCAAGAGGCTTCATTACTGAGTTTTAGAAGGTGGGTTAAGACAAAGTTGTTTCACCAGACCTTACGAGATGGCTAACTCTAATCCTGTGTGCATTCTTTCAGCATTCTCTCTCCATAATTGATTTTTTTCTCATTGCGTTGAATCACATTATGGGGATTTTTAAAAAAGGGTTATTTAAGGCAATTTTTCATGTTCATACTTTATTTTTATGCTATTTAGACATGTATATATTTGTAATATAAATGTTTATATGGCTCCTTGAAGACTGATATGGCAGAAAAGTAATTTTAAAATTTTATAAATAAATAAAGCATCACAAAGAATTAACCCAATATGCTTTTTGACATGATTTTGACTCAACAAGTGCAACCACTTTAATTATTTTCAATAATTAATTTTTGATGTTTTAGACTTAGCCCTCTGAATTCAGCAAGATTTAAAAGTGCCTGACTTTCAATGGATCGTTTTGTCCTCACCATAAAATCAAATTAAATTTATTACTAAATGGAAATAAATAAATCTTACGCATAGCATAATAGCTTTATGTTTTTCTGCTACCAAACATTTAAAGTTAAAGTAACGTTTTTTCCCTAGAAAGGAAGATAAAAATGTTCTGTGCCACAGAAGAAATTACTTGCAAGATTGAGTCTTGGCAACTATTATAATCTTTTTTGAAATTATTCATATTAAGATTAAAGACCACTTTGTTCCTCTATTCCCACAACTGGTTGGTATGGTAAAGAGATCAATCTCCTACTTTTATATGTAACATCTTTAACATTTGCTCTCTTTTTCTGTGCCTGTGATTAAATGTAACATTTTGAAATCCCAAAGTTCTGAGAAAAACATAAATCCTTGTCTCACAGCTGCTGTTTGACTCTGGAAACATATGCATTTTCTTTTCAAGCCTCAGCCATCAAAAAATCCCAATGGACTTGAGCTGGAGAACACCTGTATCTCTTCATTTAGCTCGAATAACAGAGTATAAACTTCAAAATTACAAAAATAGATGCTAAATTCAGCTGTAGTTACATTTTGCTGCTAATTCCCGTGAACAAAAATGCTAAGAGCATGAAATCATTCAAGCAAGCTCTGTCATCAGTAGGATAAAAAATTTTTTTATTTTTTGCACCAGAAACCCAGTGGGAAAATGATAGAAAACTGGCAACAATTACAGATAAAATACAAAGTTCAGTCCTTAGGGAGAGAAGAGGAAATGTAATAAGATAGATAGGTATCATTTTTACACTTTTATACCCAAATCATAAATGTGAATTGATTTTAATTATTATATACTTGCTCATTTGTGTGTGTGTGTGTGTGTGTGTGTATACACAACAGGATAAAGACTTCAGGGCACAGCAGTAAATATGCTGATCATGTGTGCCTGCCTACATGCATGTTTCATTTCTAAAACAAAAGACACAATTAAAATGAGAATCCATTGTTTACATTTCAGACTGTTAACAGTGATGGTAGCCTGGGTTTGAATTGTGAATGAGAAAAAATAGCAACTTCATTTAATCCTCTTTTGAACTCCAAAAAAAGTGAAGCAGCAAACCTGCCTTTGGCGAGGGGGATCCCTTCCTTTCTAATTAACCCCACTGAACAAAATTAACCTTTACAAAGTATGGAAGTATCAAATAACATTGTTGTTTCTGCACACACTACAGCACAGGACTTGCTTTTCATACTCTCTGGCATAAGGAAAAAAACCTCACACAAAAACACCAGCATGCTTTTCATAAAAGTAATGAAGAAGGTGCATACTTGTTTAAGAATGGGATACAAGTTGTCACTCTGCAACTGAGGAGAGCCACTTTTTTCATCAGCCCACTGAATAAATTTACAGCAATGTTACTACCCTCAAGACATTTTCAATTCAATTTTTTTCCTTACCGTTTAACCCTATAAAGTCAAACTGCAACATTCCTAACCAAATATGATATCAATATTAGTGCACAACATTAGTGCACAATCAAGTAGATTAATGCTACAGTAAAAGATATTTCTTATAAACCATGGAAAACTCCCACTATACAGACTAGAGGCACAACAAAAAAGCTTCACAGATTAAACCTGAAAGCATGCATAATTCTCCAAGACTGAGAGATGCTTTATACTTCCCCCCCATCTACATGGATGATATCTCTATAGGAAAATATGTCAGTACTACAACGTACGAAAGCTGGGGCATTTTTTGCCACAGGTACATAGAGTGCATAGTACAGTAAAATAAGGTTACGATCTGCCTAATTCAAGCAGATACTGAACCTTCCAGACATCTGTTTGCCAGTTCAAACAACTGTTACAAGGATTCTTGACTGGAGAACCACTCTTTGCCCTAGAGTTCTGCTACAGTTAAATCATGTGCACTCAATTTGATCACTACACCATAACTTATTTAGTAGGCAATGAGTTACAAACAATCCAACAGGAAAAAAACCTCAAGCAAAATACATGCATTCTGCCTCCCACGGATAAGAAGCCTTGGGCTGGGTCTTAAATCATCTCAAAGAGCCTCGGGAACTTTGTCAGATATATCACATGGTGAACTGACTTCAGGAGGGAGAGTGGAAGGAAGGGTCTTCCCTGCACCACATGCACAAGCTCTTCCATGAATGAAAGGTTATATAACAAATGGAGGAACAGCTCCTAGTCTTCGGAAGCAGCTATTGGGAGAGAACGAAAGGCAGAGGTGGGAAGGGCAAAACTGTCTTCCATGAATACTCTCTTTTTGGTGGATCTTTAATATTCAGTTGAGGATGGGTTGCAAAGCCATAGAGGGAAGAAGAGGAACAGGGTGAGGTGGGAGGGGAGATTCTGGGAAGCTTGATAGCCACTGCAGAGTGTGCAAATGGCTCAGCAGATCAGGCGCGTTCCAAACACAAGATGTACCCCACGTATCTATATTATTTTATCATGGAGCCACTCTTGCCCCCCATGCCTCCGGTCATTCTGAAAAGGGGCTTCCTTCAAACTTGCAATACAGCAACAGGATGGTCCTAATATCTAAATGAGCTTACCCAGTGGTTCTAAAGAGTTCATAAGAGTATTTCATTCATTCAGGTTAAAAAACGTTCTAATTAAATCAAACTAAAGATTAAACCACTGCCATCTTGAAACTAATACTTCACACAGCAGAAGTGATAATTATCTCTATATAGAGCCTATGTAGACAGCATAAGTAGAATAAAACTATTCTCCATCAAATATGCTTAAGAAAGAAAGTGGAACATACATGGGAAAACTACACAGGATCAAACTGATAAGCTATGTTTTGTAGAACACCATTCTGCAATGGTTTGCTCCAGTTTCAGCTTTCCAAATGGACTGAAAATGGCTTGGATGCTATGAAGCATGAAGATACTTGACATATGGTATTTCCCCCACCCACTTGGCATTTCCCAGATGCTGAAGTGAGGCCCACAGGTACATCTAGCATCAGTGGGTTGTTTTGTGGTGTGTGTGTTTGAGGTATTGGTGTAGCTGGGAAACATAGAAACACAGAATTGGAAGGGACCTCAGGGGTCATCAGGTCCAACCCCCTGCACAATGCAGGAAATTAACAACCACCTTCCCCCAGTGACCCCTGCTCTACGTCCAGAGGAATGCAAAAAACCTCCAGGATCACTGACCAATCTGACCTGGAGGAAAATTCCTTCCTGGCCCCAAAGTGGTGATCAGCATTACCCTGGGCATGTAAGAAAAGGCCACAAGAGCCAGGCACTGGCTCATCCCTTCCTGCCCTCCCTCTCGTGATCCCCAGTTTCACAGGGGGAAAAGGGGGAGAGTGAGAAAAAAGGGGGAGAGCTTGCCCTTTATACTTCACAGGATCTAAGCCACTGTCTGTTGATACATGGAATACATTAAATAAATATTCTCTACCAACTGAATGTGATATTAGGGTCAAAAAAGACATAACTTTTTTTTAAACGCACTCACCTGAGTTATAGTTGTAGTCCTTATGCTGAGGGACTTGAATTGTGAAGGCCAACAAATCTGGAGCAAGCAGAGACTCTGGCTTTCGGCTTTCATTAAGCCATTTGCTGCTGTGCAAGTCCCTCGTATCAGATGGACCTTGAATTAAAGGGATCAGCTTCTCCTTTCCACCATCACCTAAATGCATCATTAAAACATATTGTATGATTCAATTAATAACATGTGCAGTAGCGCCACAAAACTGTTACAAGATTCATTGTATTAAAGATGTAAGACAATACTACCTATTACGTCTTAAAAGGTCAAATAATTCTCATGTCATATTTCCTCGAAAAATTAGTCAGATTCAATTTTCATGAAGGATTTCTTGATTAGTATGCATAGGCTAACCTTAGTGCTTCACCCTGCTTTACCTTTGTGCAGTTCTTCAATACTATAATTTGGCACAAAGTGAATAGCCAGGAGGGTAATGCACCAGACAGCAAGCCTAATCATACCAATGCTTCTTGATCTTCTTTTGCACCAGTTGGCTTTATCTGTGCATTGCCTTTCTGCCACGCAGCGCAACCCTCTATCTGGTTGCAATTAGAGTCCTAGCCTCATTTACTGGGGCCTTAGAGGGAATTCAAGAGCAAGAGCAGCAAAATATACCTAAGAAATAAG